GTTAATGTTTGTTGCGTTGCTTTCCAATAAATATTTACAAACACGAACATACTATCTGAAGTGAGTTATCGAATGCATAGGTTGGTCAAATTAAAACATACTTAATCCTCTAATGTGGAAACATGTACAAACGATAAAAGTGTGCATAAGTTAAATAAATTAATTCTGTGTTTCCACTTCCACTTCCACCTAACGTTTCAAAAATACACGAGCCAACGGGGAAACAGATGTCACGAATCCATTAAACAATCTGGCAACAAAAGTTACAGAATTCGACCCAATATACAGAAATCGTTTTTATTTTCAGGAATCATTCCAGTTTTTATATAATAAAAAAAATAAGTCTTCTTGACTTAAAATTTTCTTCACCGGAGAAGCCCCAAATGTTGAGCATGAGTTTGGACGCGTGCTCACGGGAACATGTAAAATTAACGATCGTTCGCTTATATGTTGATACATCCTGGATCACTTGATGTACCGGCGTCACTGACGTAACGATTAGGCTCTTTGCCATTACTCTTCAATTCCCACATGAGGAAGTTATTTTATCGACGTATCTCTGTCTATCTGCTGGGGTGCTGCGGCCCATACAGCCCGGATTTGCCCGTTACAGACAGGGTTGAAGCAGCCCTCCTCCTTCCTTCATGAGCTAAATAAGGTCTACTGAGGTTTGATTGTAAAATCATTACATAAGTATGGCTTATAGGATGCTGTAACGCTTCACACTTCGGGTTATTGCTCTAGTTGTGCTTTGGAACACTTTCAAAAGTTTCCTGGCTGCACGATAGGAAACATAATACAGTAGAACTCGGATTCAACGAGGTCGCCGGGCCTGACCTAAAATCTCGTTGAATCCGAGTGTTCGTTATAACAAACACGAGGTTTTGTGTAGATAATTACAGGCACTGAGCAAGTAGGACCTAATGTATAAAAAGAAGTCACAAGTAGTGCCTGAAATGCCTACATGCTATGAGCTGTGTAAAAAAAGACCGATTCGTTCAAATGCACATGCCTGTGTCATCTCGATTGTTCACCAAAACGTTTTGTTGCTGTGTAGAGCCTAGCGTACGGCAACTTTTGATTCCTCCATAGACCAGCGCACAATTCATTACGTAGATCTACGCCAAGACTAGCTTATTATTGTAATAATGATCAGTTGCCGAGGGGGAAAAAGACGGACGCGTTTGTATCTGCGACGTTCAATGCCCGGACCACTAGTGCCCCCCTCCCCCCGACACGCACACACAGCCACACGTGTGCAGGCCGCCCATCCGACCCCGACACACACCAGAGTAGATACGTGCGTGTGCCAATAACGCATGGGTTGGTATACATGGTATGAAAAAAGGCCACCGATTGGTCGTATGCAATCGGCTAAGTGAATAATGGTTCACGATGCAAGTGCAGTGGATGGTGTCTGAGAATAGATAAAGTTCGTTCTGGGAGAAAAATGGGCAACGCCACGTCTGCAGGGGCTGTTCACCATGGAAGCGACCTCGTTGAATCCGAGCTCGCTGATTTAAGTGCTCGTTGAATCCGGGTTATTTTTATTGATTTTAAAGAGAAAAAAACGGGGAATCTATCTCATCTCGTTGAATCCGAGTTCTCGTTGAATCCGAGTTCTCGTTGAATCGGAGCTCGTTAAATCCGAGTTCCACTGTATTGTACTTGCAGCATAAATAAGAGATGTTTGCATTCACTAAGGTTTCAACCCTTTGGACTTTGTGCTTTGAGACTCCCGTTGCCAAAATATCGTAGAAATAGTTCATTAAATAAGAAAATTATGAGATAGGAGCGTGCCCATGACTCACTAACCCGTGAGCTGATGACGGTAACTGTATTTCGAAATAAGAGGGGAAAGGGCGCGTTTAAAGTAACATCATCTTGAACATGTTTTGTAGTCGAGTCGGCTTACTTATGGAATGGAACTCGATTTAATTTATATACATATCACTGATAGATAGATAGATAGATAGATAGATAGATAGATAGATAGATAGATAGATAGATAGATAGATAGATAGATAGATAGATAGATAGATAGATAGACAGATAGATAGATAGATAGATAGAAGGATCGGTGGATGAATGGATGGATAGATGGATGGATAAATAGGTAGATACGCAAACATCAAGTACACAATATCTCCCGTACCCTTAGGGTACACCCACAGACAGTAATTTGTGCAATATCTGTTTGTGTTCAGCCCCAGCAGTAGTAGACTCGCGTAACAAATTCCTTTCGCGCATGTGCCGTAGGCCACTGCCGCCCGCCATCTTGTATTCAGTGTGGTAATGAGGTATTGATCCTCGGGTCTTGCCCTACGCGGTAGACGATTGGTGGCGATTGCAAGAACATTACACGGTATTGTAGATATCACTGCCTTTTTTTCCTTGGGAAGGGACTGGGGTATAGAAATAGACCCAGAGATAAATAATTGAGCCAAATGGCAAGAGAAAGAAGTGAAGATGGGGGACAGACAGACAGACAGACAGACAGACAGACAGACAGACAGACAGACAGACAGACAGACAGACAGACAGACAGACAGACAGGCGGACGGACGGACGGACAGACGGACAGACAGACAGACAGACAGACAGACAGACAGACAGACAGACAGACAAACGGACGGACAGACAGACAGACAGACAGACAGACAGACAGACAGACAGACAGACAGACAGACAGACAGACTGAGAAAGATAGTATGTAGAAGAAGAAGAAGAAGAAGAAGAAGAAGAAGAAGAAGAAGAAGAAGAAGAAGAAGAAGAAGAAGAAGAAGAAGAAGAAGAAGAAGAAGAAGAAGAAGAAGAAGAAGAAGAAAGAAGAGAGGGGGGATAGGGAAGAGGAATAAATCGGGGTTACGAGACAACAGCGGGACGGCGAAGTGGAGACGAAGGATAAGAGACTGTTTTACTGAAGGGGAAAGAATGGAGAGAGGCTTGAAAAGAAGGGGCATAGAAAAGATGGGGCTTCAGAGTTATGTGCGTCCTTGTCTTTCCAAAAAATTTTTGAATGGCCATTCCAGAGAATCTTTGAACGACGAGGAGGCAATTCAAGAAAGTGTTGAAAAGACAATGAGGGCAGATTGGAGTTGGGGGTCTGGAGGCGGGATAGAAGATGAGAACTTCTAGTAGATCAAGAGGAAACACATTAATCAGAAACATCAAAACTGGGGTCAGCCAGCCTTAGGCTACTTCAGTCGACTTGAGTATACTCTTATGCATAATTTAATTCGGGTTTATAGAGTGGGGTGTGGGATGGGTACGAAGGAGGATTTTTTTTCTTTGGGGGTGGGGGGGTGAGGATGAAGGAACATGATACAGAGAGGTTTGCTGCTTTAAAAATATTCTGATCATAAAGGGGTCACAGTAAAGAGATTGTTCAAAAGTTCTGGACACAGATCGATTTGAGCATAATCTATATATAGAAGTAGGTAAGACAGCCAAATGGTTTGGGTTCCTTTTAATCTGCGGGTTTCTAATATGATGGTGTTGGTGTGTAAGAATAAGGTACGGTTTGTAGCAGAAAATATAAAGAGAGAGGGTGGGAGGGGGGGAAGAGTTTAAAACTGATGTCAGTCTGTTGCGTTTGGCGAGCTTTTGATCTAGAAACATAACCCGAAAAGTGGGAATTTTATTGGACCGTTTGTCTGTTGGAAGAAATGGGGGGGGGCATAGTGTTTTTACTCTCAACCCCTTCACCCATACGTATGAAAACCTAAATTGCCGTGTTCCTCTCTTTCCCTCCCTCCTCTCTCTCTCTCTCTCTCTCTCTCTCTCTCTCTCTCTCTCTCTCTCTCTCTCTCTGCCTGTGTATG